ACATCACCATTATACTTTGTTTACAGCATAAAATACTTTAATAATAATGCAACTTTGCCTTAAATAAAACTTAACTGCAGAGAGCCTTCTCATTCACATCCTCAACTGACTACTTGGATATCACAAAGATTTGTGACAATACAGTAGACTTCCAGTATTTCAGACATATCATTTTTGCCAGGTTATCAAGAGTGCTGGTTCATAAATTGCTGGTTAGCACAAAATTTGCTGTTCCACATTCGATTTCTAGTTTATGTCTGTCTTCTCATCTCATGTCTAATTTTGCTCACTGCTTTGCTTTTCTACTCCCTGTTGCCAGTTTTGCTTCCCACCAGCTGAGCTTTCACTGAAGTCCCCCCCACCCCCGCTGTCAATTTGGTTCAAACCCTGCCTATCAGCACAAGCAAAAATGCAAGGTATTAGTCCCTGTCCTACTAAGGTGCAATCTGTCCATTTTTTTTTTTCAAGTTTCACCTGCTCCAGAGCTTGTCTCAATGCCTCAAATCTGATTATTTGTCCCTCCTACACCAGCCACAATTTCAATTGCTTAATCCTCCTATTCCCATTCTCACTTGCACCTGATGCTGGGAGTAATCCTGAAGTTGCTGCTCTTGTTATATATTTTTCAGATTGTTGACATCGAATAGTTTTATTTCTGTACTTCCAATATTTAAAGAAAAACGTTTTAACTGAATATAGTAACAGTATTGGAACTATTATATATTCTGTTATTGAAATCGTGCAGTAGTTCCAGTAATTAGGTAATTGGACGGCTTTCTACAATTCTACTATATGAATCATGTATGTATTTTTGTCCCTTTTTTAATTAAAGGGCTGTTAACTGTGTTTGTAGAAGGTCACATTTATTCTTTTAAGTTGATTTTGTTCAGGTGAAGGGAGAACCTTCAATGTAAGCTTTTTGTGTCCAATTTATTGCTTATAAAGAAAGAGACTCATAAAACTGGTTGTCAAGTGCTTTGCTGTTTTGGATGCAGTGGCATGAAATTGCTATACTTCTAAGCTTGCACTGACCATTAACTCTAAGTTTTATAACATAACTTCTTTAAAATGGTTTGTATAACAAATGTCTTAAAATTTTACGTCATAATTCTTCAGTAACTCTTCAAAGGCTATAATTCAACCACTAATCTTCATGAAATAGCAGCAGTGATTGCTTGCATTCTGATTTGCTGATTTTTCAATGATGTGCTGCATGTAGACAAAGATGACTTCTCCACATCTTCGGAGGTTTGGGCTGTAGACAAGGGACTAATAAGTAAACTGAAGGAACAATACAAGAAGGAGCGGAAGGGCAAGAAAGGGGTCAAGAGTAAGTGCAGATAATTCTGAATCATGTAGAATGACTTTCACATTTCCTTAACTGTACTACTTGGATTTTAATTTATTCCTTCTAAATATCTGTCTTTCATTAGCTTTGTTTCTGTTTGTTGAATACTTCTTTCACGTATCCCTAAATAAACTATTAGATTAGGGGTGCAACCAACATTTCTTACATTATTGGGGTTAGAGGCTTGGCTTTGAGTAGTATTTACATTGGCATCATGCCTGAAAGTATGAAGATGTTGGTAGTTGGGACATCCGAGGAATGCTGCTTCTAAATATTTTTATCCTCTGGTGAGAGACTCAAATCTTTAGTGACAGCGATATATCTTTAAACTAAACAAAACTAGTTGAAGAGATACAAACAACATGTTGGAAATAGTCAGCAGGTCTAACTGCATCTGTAGAGAGAGAAATAGTTAGCATTCAGAAATGAATACAGCTCCTCTTCAGTTGGTAAGATGGTTGTGTTTTTAAAAAAAACTAAATTGTGTTTAAAAATAATTCAAAAGAAGATTAATTATGGGGTGGCCATATTGGATTTGGTGCTTGGCAGAGGAGAGGCCATATTGGATTTGGTGCTTGGCAATGAACCAGGCCAGGTGTCAGATCTCTTGGTGGGAGAGCATTTCGGTGATAGTGATCACAACTCCATAACCTTTACTATAGTTATGGAGAGGGATAGGAGCAGACGGTATGGGAAAGCATTTAATTGGGGGAGGGGGAATTACATTGCTATTAGGCAGGAACTGTGGAGAATAAATTGGGAACAGATGTTCTCAGGGAAATGCACGACAGAAATGTGGAGGCTGTTTAGGGAGCACTTGCTGCAAGTGCTAGATCGGTTTGTCCCACTGAGGCAAGGAAGGGATGGTAAGGTGAAGGAACTTTGGATGACAAGACATGTGGAACATCTAGTCAAGAGAAAGAAGGAAGCTTACTTAAGGCTGAGGAAGTAAGCATTGGACAGAGCTCTACAGGGCTACAAGGTAGCCAGGAAGGAACTGAAGAATGGACTTGGGAGAGCTAGAAGGCAACATGAAAAAGCCTTGATAGGTAGGATTAAGGAAAATTCCAAGGCGTTCTATACATATGTGAGGAACAAGAGGATGGCCAGAGTGAGGGTAGGGCCAATCGGGGATAGTGGAGGGAACTTGTGCCTGGAGTTGGAGGAGGTAGGGGAGGTCCTTAATGAATACTTTGCTTCAGTATTCACCAGTGAGAGGGACCTTGATGTTTGTGAGGACAGTGTGAAACAGGCTGATATGTTCGAACAGGTTGATGTTGGGAAGGAGGATGTACTAGAAATTTTGAAAAACATGAGGATAAATAAATCCCCTGGGCAAGTCGGGATATACCCAAGGTTTCTACGGGAAGCGAGGGAAGAGATTGCTGCGCCTTTGGCGATGATCTTTTCGTCCTCACTGCCCACTGGAGTAGTACCAGATGATTGGAGGGTGGCAGAAATAGCTGTCATGAGGGGGCATAATTTTAAGGTGATTGGAAGAAGGTATAGGGGAGATGTCAGAGGTAGGTTCTTTACACAGAGAGTGGTGTGTGCGTGAAATGCACTGCCAGCAGTGGTGGTAGAGTCAGATACATTAGGGACATGTAAGCGACTCTTGGACAGGCACATGGATGATAGTAAAATGAAGGGTATGCAGGTTAGTTTGATCTTAGAGTAGGATAATAGGTCGGCACAGCATCGTGAACCGAATGGCCTGTACTGTACTGTACTGTTCTATGTTAATAATCTGTTGGCTGAAAAGAAAAATTGATTGAAAGGTTAGTATTGGAAAGAGTGAAAGTTCTGAATATAGAATTATAGTATTGATTTGGGTATCAGATTTGGAATCTAAACCATGCTGCTACTTTAGAAAAAGAATTGAAATGCGGCCCTTGAAAACTAATGTTGCATGGTAATATTCTCAAACTGCATGTGTTTCATACTAACCAAGTAGAAAGGTGCAACTATTTGTGTTTTTACTGATATGTTTCTCTAGGTGACAAATACATACAATTTTATTGTTTCATGAAAGGATTAAAATGATCAGTTTTGTAGAATCTCATCAAAAGGATTAAAGTAGTCAGTTGCTTAGAATTTCACCATTGATTTTAAAATAATTGAGTAAGCTCAACCCTCAGGTTTGAACCTCAGGTTTGTTTTTTACAGTGTTGATTCTGATATTGGAAGCTTATCACTTACTGTAAAATCAGCAGGATAACGGGTTTTAAGTAATGGTTAAGTAATAATATTTGAAATGACTCCCCTTACAACACACACATGCGCACGTGAGCTCACCCACATGCCCGCCCCCACCCACCCGTAACAAAGCAACATTAGCACAAAAGAACGGATTCAATCGTGGCAGTCTTGTCAGACTAGGGTCCTGTTATTTTGTGTAACTTTAGTCCATTGGTAATTAAACATGATGCAGTTCTATTTTTGTAACTTTAGCAGATTAGAATCTTCCTTAAGTGGAAAAACTTTTGCTTTCTTATTCTGTTCTGTGACTATTTCCAAAAGATCTGGATGAATTTTATGATTCCAGATAATTTAGAGATTTTTACTTTTATGATTTCTGTCATATATTTAAATGGAAATTTGGTTTTTAAAAAGAATTGAATTCGTTAAGGATATCCAAATCTAGTCACAAGAGTGTGTGATATTTATGATTATTAATGGGACATTTATGATTCTTAAGTTAGAGGGCAGACATTTTTTATAACAGTTCTCCTTCGTACTCATCACAAATAGTATGCAAGCTAAAGTAATGATTATATGCCCTCTATAGTGTTTCATTATTAATAAACATGAAATATTTGTCATATACTTCTCTTACACTGGATGACTGAAGAAAACGTACATTATAATTATAATATTAGAACTGAGAAGTATCCAATTGTCAAGAAGCAGAGCAAAATAATGCACATTACTCATTGAATTGATATTAATTTCACAATTAGTATGAAGTATGGAAGTAAACGTGTGTCCGTGCTTGTATGAAACATACTCTGAGAAGACCTGAGCCAACAGCGTGTGTTGAGTTTTAAAGGCCTGCGTTTAGTTTGTATCTATTTATTGTTTTGAGATTTGTGAAAGCAATCATCTTCTCGTTTTTTAAAAAAAGATTATTTACATAAATCTTTGTTGTGTTTATATCCTCCAAAGACTGTGTGTTCACACTGTGCAAATTAGTTTAACTCTGGAAACCTTTCTGGGGAGATTACTTTCATCTGACCAGTTCAATATGTTTCCAACAAAAAAATAGGGTCAAGACAGGGGTCCACTGAGTTAAATACTCCTGATGCTGAAAATCTAAAATAAAAACAGAAACCAAAAAAACAAACTGTTGCTAAACTGTGTTTTTACTGATATGTTTCTCTAGGTGACAAATATGTACAATTATTGTTTCATCAAAAGATTAAAATGATCAGTTTGCTAAAACCCCAAAAAATTATCTGTTGTTCAACTCACTTTTCCCTATTTTGCTTGTTTAAGGGAGCTGACTGACACTGGAAATCTCAAAGTCTTGAAATTTTAAACAGTCTTTCTCTTGATCTTTTTGAGCATTTTCTGTTTTAAATCCTTAAAGCTGGTATACAGCATGAAGATGCCGCTTTAAAGAATGAATACAAACATCTTTTGAAAATATAAATTTATTATTTCCGGGGTAAAGTTATTTTCCCTTTTTTTTAAACATGAAATCCTTAAATAAATTTATTTTTGCCACAAGTGATTGCTGAAACTGAGCAGTTATAAATAAACAATCTTCAAAAGAGAGAAGAATATGCTTGATGAAAGAGTGACCTTGTTCAGAACAGCTCAAAGATTAATTTGATTTCATGATTCAGTGATAATAATTATGTATTCCTGATAATTCAAATTCAGAACAAATTGTTTTAACTATCTACTCAAACCTCATTTGTAAATATTAGGTTATAAAGGTTATCCCACAGCTCCTTGAATAAACTGGGCACTACTGGATGTAAATCATTGACGTTGTAGTTATAACTAATCTGGCTGAGACGCGATGAAATAAATATTATTTTTATCACTGTCAACCAAATGCTTAATGTCCTGGACTACGTTGGCAAATGTGCAGAGTAGGGTGAGAATTTCAAGTTTATCCCTCGTAAAATTTGTGATTTTTAACCATATTTATTAGACTTGTTTGTGGCATGTGAGTACATGTATTAGACAACTTTTATTTCCAAAACTTGGAGGTTGAAAATTAATGTGTCTCACTTACGGTATCTTGGAAATTATAGCTTTGGCTTTCCATTCTGATGAAGTTTCCCTCTTAAATATACAGGTTTATTTGTGTAAAATAGAAGAATCTGGTTGAGATTTTTTACATTGCTTCTGTAGTAATTGAAGAATTCTTCTTCTGTGACAGTTAGTTGTGTGTGGTCATTTAATATAGCATACAATTTGTTTGATTAGACTGGCACCATAGCTGTACTACATGACTTTCGTGCAGTATGTATTAATGTTGACTAGGTTATTGATCTTTTACATTGAAAATAATTAAGGGAAGAATCAGTCAACAGGGCATCACATTTAATTTAACAAAATAAATGTTTCAAAAACAACTGTAACACCTAAAATATTATCTAACCAATGAGTTAATGATATTTATGTCACCATCCCTTTAATCTTCATTTGAAACTAGCTACATATGAGATCATGTCTGCCAGCACACATTGAGATCACGATTGAAGATGTTGACTTTGGCATAAATAGCTCTCTCCAAAGTTTACTTATTTTCAAAGATGATCTGCAATGATTGACCAGTGCTTGCTTCTAAAAATGCAATGCACCCATTTGTCACAAATCAGTGATACTCTTAACAAAAGTACATCTTGAACTTTCGATAAATACTTACCATGCAACAGAATGTGTATTTGTAACTTTTATGCTTTGTGAACATTTATTTACAGTAACTACTGAATTAAGAATAGTTGTTTTGAAGAACAATATACAGCACAAAATAGCTAAGGCTGTTTAACTTGTGTGTTTTAGTTTCAGATTATATGTAGGCATACATTATTGAAGCACTGTGACTGATTGATTGAAATTACCGGTGGTTGATTGAATGTAGATGTGTCTTCAAGGGTTTTTAAAGTACTGTGATTTAACTGTGTAACTTGCTGAGTACAGTTGCAGCAATTCAATTTATGTGAACAACGGATATTGTCACAAGTGTTAAGCTACATTCATATTTTCAGTATTGAGTTCAAGACTCAATATTGAATCAGACTCAGTAAACCTTAAGGCATGGCACCTTATTCATTTAATACAAAGTCCTCTTCATGACTGGCATTTTTCAGTGACAGTTAAGTTTCTCTGCCTTTTTCCAATCTGCTCCTTCTCTACTGAAGATGTTTGTTCTTGCTCCAGTTGTTTCACTGGCACCCAAAACAATCTGATATTTGCTTAAGTAACTATTATCTTGTGTGGGCCTTGATTGTTAGTGTCTGCAGGGTACTTTGAGGGAGAGGAATGCATCAAGGTTGGCCCTGAATTTGTCCTCAAGTGACATATACCTTTGTGCGTTCTATGAGGCGTCACAGGATAATCATCAGGAGATAAAACACAAGCTGGTTGCCCATCTTTCTCCTCACTCGTGCCTTGGTAGCCCAGTGACACTGACATCAATTGTAACATCCTAACTGAACCTAGCTGAGGTGGTTTGACTTGTGGAAAACCGTTGAGCAACTCTAGTAATTTCTTAATCTTTCTGGTTCTGTACTGCATTAGATGCTGCACTTACTGAGCCATTAAGGGTAGTCTGATAACAATTAGTTTTATCTTTACATGGACTTCTATTGTGAAATGTATTGTTTTGTTTGTATTTTTGCCTACTTTTGTGCGTTGTTTTCAATGTCAGGTCAAAATAATATCAACTGATGCTAGTCGTTAGGTGATGGAAAGGTGATTAAAGTACTTTTACGTGCTGCACACTTGAGAGTGAGAATTTTCTTCCTGCGATGAACATTGACAGTTTTTCCTTTGTTAGTTGCAAATGACACTGGTGTGCAACTATTTAAGCACTTAAATATGATAACAGACACCCCTACTGTTATATGCAAGTACAATGTTATTCATGTAGGAGTACTTGTCCAATTTTCTAAGTAAGGATGAGTTGCAGAAAACTCAGAAGAGTTTTAGCTATGAGTCCATGTGAGATATCACATGCTTTTGAGAGGCTGTGTCTGTGAAGAGTAAATGATGCAGACTGTGAATGCCTTTCACATCTTAATTGAACAGACGTGAGGTTCCACAAGATCTAATGCTGCCATATAAACTGGACGATTAAACTCAATTCTTCTTTTATTTTTGCCTTGCCTGGCATATTTTTCCTCTTTAACAGTGTTTCATGATCCTTTGGGCAATGCCTTGCTCTTTGTCAGTTGCCAGCTTGTTTCACTCCGGACATGAGACTAGATGCAGAACTTGTACTGAACATTTAAATACTGTTACTTGACAAGCCCATTTTGCATTTATTTACTCTTTTTTATCATTGAACTGGCCATTTCTAAATAAGAAAGTCCTTGGCTCTTAAATCCATTCCTCTGTTTTGATGAATGAACTCCTTCAGTCTATGTTTGGGTCTCGCTCCTCAGTTTCATATTCCTTAACAGACTGTGCTTTCTTGGAGTGTGAGGACTCCATTTGGATACGCCAGATGGCCCAGGAGTGATTTTAATCAAGAAAGCTTCTACATCCATTATCTACAAGGCCCTTTGCTGCACAAATTCTTCTAGCCCGTGAAGATTCCTGTGGTGGAAACTAATTCTGTGAGTGGACAGTAAGACTTACACCCAAACTCTGTGTATCGTTAGGTGGTGTGATACATACCAGACAACATGGAAGAGCCTCCATAGAGGATTGTAATTACTGTGGTGAGTAATTGCTATCTGAGAAATTTAAATTAGCATTAGTAATTCCTCATTTTGTACAAAAGTAACGACATTTGTGTTTTACTATTGTGAAGTACCTTAGTGGGGTCCATGAGGTATGGTCAGTGCAGAGAAAAACAACAAACACGACTTGTCTCACATTTTGCTCCCAAGATTTGTGCCCCAGTATGTTTTTCTTTTAACTGCAATGGCAAACAATTGTAAGTGAGAACACCAGTATGGATAATCACAAAAAGGAATTTTTGTCAAATTTTTGACAAAATTATTTGAATTGTTAGTTTGTTGCACCCCTAGTATAAGCATCTAAAACTTTTATCTTTGGTTTGTTTTCTATTTGTGTTGCTCAAAAGACAGTTCTTTAATTAGTTCTTCTCTCCATTGCTAATCTATGAAATAATCTACCTATATAACTGAATCAGACATACATTGCCTTTTAATTTTCGATTTCAGTAACTACTTAAAATTATATATAGCAGGTTATCTTAATTTGACCTGCTTACAATTCCTTAAGGAAAAATATAGTTTTAGTGTTAGCATAGAGTATGAATATATCAGAATATTGATTAATGTATAAGATATCATTCAGGATGTTTTTATTTCATAAGAATTTATGGTAAATATTTAATGGCTAATGCAAATAAAAATTCTAAAGAACCTATCTCGTGCCATCAAGAATTCTGGCTATGTGATTGAACAGTTACTGATGACTTTCATTTACAGGGGTAAACAGGTCAAAGCTTCAGGATATGATTGCAGATCTCAGAGACGATGAGCTGCCCCACATGCCATCTGGAACCATGATTCAGTCCAGGCCAACTTCTTCCAGACTGGCTGATCATGACAGTTCAAGAACAGAAGAAGGTATAACTAAAATTATTACTGCATCTTCATGTTGGGCAGTGTATTTCAATAAAAACAAAAAGTGCTGGAGTTGCTCAGCAGGTGTTCAGCATCTGTGGAGTGAGAAACGAAGTTAACGTTTCAGATGGATGACCATTTATTAAAATCGAAAAAGTGAACTGTGTGACATATTTTAAACAAACATTGTTTGACAGTGAAAAGGGGAAGTGCAGTAAAACACATGAAAATGGGAAGGTCTGTGATGTGTGGAGCATCAAAAATATTAAATGGAATGGGGAGTGCCAAAGAAATCTGTTCTGATCTGCCAGATTTGTTCAACAGACATGTAAGTCGAAACATTATCAGCTGCTGCTGCCTGAAACAGTTGTTATGATCACAAATTGTTGATTACAGTTGTGTTGACTCCAGAAGATTGCAAAGTAGTTAAATAGAAAAATAAGGTGCAGTATCTTAAGCTTGTGTGAACTTCACCTGAACTCTGTAGGAGGCAAACGATTTAAGAGTTCAGAGTGTGAGTGAGATGGAGAATAAGCAGGCACCTTGAAGCTCCAGAGCATGCTTACAGGCTAAACGATGTATTCCACAAACTGATCACCTAATCTGAGTTTGATTCCCCAATGCATTAACTAAATAGGAAATAAATAACGAGTCAGTCGCTTGGGCTCATTTGGGAGAAGCTTGTTCCTGAAAAGAATTCCAGTTCTATTCTGGTTCCCTCTCCCACCTTATTTATTTCAGGTACATTGACTATATTGATGGTGTTTCCTGCTCTTGCCCTGAACAGAAATTTCATCAACTTTGTTTCCAACTAAACCTTTCTTTGCCTTCATATCATCCATTTCCCATCTCTTCCCTTCCATGTCTCATCTCTGGTGATAAGCTATCGATGAATATCTATGTTCATGTGTTTCAGGATCAGCATTGAGCTGAACAATTGGCGTTCTTTGCTATTCCTTCCATTTTTTTTTCCGGCAGAAGCTGCTGGCTGTGTCGTTAGTAATTCCAATTTACATTTCCAGACCCATATTTTGATTCTATACCTGTTGTCTGTTATCATTTAATCACCTCTGTCACCTGCCTTTTCAGTGACTTTTCATATTTTTTTTCTCTTGCCCCTCAACCGCAAGCTGTTACATCACTAACTTCTTTCTGGTTCTGATCAATAGTGATCCACCTCAAAAATAACTTTATTTCTCTTTCTCCAAAACTGTTACCTAATCTGCTGGGTATGTGCAGCATCTTATGTTTTTGTTTCAGATTTACAGCACCTGTAGTATTTTGCCTTTGTCAGTCTGATATGTTGGTATCTTCTTACCCTAACATAGCTCTTAGCAGCCATGTCTACTTGTAAGAATAAGCAAAATGGAAAATTATCACCACTTATTAGTTATGTAGGGAGCTAAAATGCAGGACTACCAGGGTAGTAATCTCAGGGTTACTGCCTGTGCCACGGGCTTGTGAGGCGAGGAACAGAGAGAGTGCAGTTGAACGTGTGGCTACTGAGCTGGTGTAAGAGGAAAGGCTTTAGATATATAGATCATTGGGATGTCTTCTGGGGAAGGTGGGACCTGTACAGGAAGGACAGGTTGCACCTGAACTGGAGGGGCACCAATATCCTGGGTGGGAAGTTTGCTAGAGCTCTTCGGGAGGGTTTAAAGTGTGGCAGAGGGGTGGGAACTGGAATACTAGGCTAGTAAGTGCAGGGACTGGGGACAAAAGTGTGACAGAGGTATGCATAGCACAGAGTAGGAGCAGGCACAGGGAAGTCGTGGGGCTCACAGGGACTGGAGGACTGGAATGCATTTATTTCAAGAAGTATACAGGTAAGTCAGATGAACTAAGAGCATGGATTACTGCATGGAATTATGATGTTATTGGTTATATGGATCATTGAGATGCCTTCTGGGGAAGGTGGGACCTGTACAGGAAGAACGGGTTGCACCTGAACTGGAGTGGCACCAATATCCTGGGGAGACTTGGTTAAAGGAGGGACAGGACTGGCAGCTTAACATTCCTGGATATCGCTGTTTTAAATGGGACAGAAAGGGAAACAAAAGGGATGGAGGACTTGCACTACTGATTAGGGATTACATTACATTACAGCTGTGTTGAGGGGATCTTGCAGTGAGGCATTATGGGTGGAGCTGAGGAATAGGAAGGGTGAAATCTCAATGTTGGGAGTTTTCCATAGACCCCCCAACAGCCCACGGGAGACAGAGGAGCAGATATGCAGTCAGATACTGGAAAAGTGTGAAAAGAGCAGGGTAGTTGTGGTAGGTGACTTCACTTTTCCTCTTATTGACTGGGATTCCCTCAGACCTAGAGGCTCGGATGGAGAGCAATTTGTTAGTTGTGTCCAGGAGGGCAATTTGAGGCAGTATGTTGAAAATCCAAACAGAGAAGAGGCCATATTAGATTTGGTATTAGGGAATAACCCAGGACAGGTGATTGACATTTCAGTAGGAGAGCATTTCAGGCTTAGTGACCTTAACGCCATAAGATTTTGAATTGTCATAGAAAAGGACACAAGTGGCCCTCGGGCGAGGGTGCTTAATTGGGCAAGAGCCAATTACTCCCAGATTAGACAGGAACTGGAGAATGTGGATTGGAAGCAGTTATTTGAGGACATATCTGCCTCTAGCATGTTGGGAGGCTTTTAAAGACCAACCGACTAAATTGCGGGACATGCATATCCCTGCAAAACTAAAGGATAGGAATGGCAGGATTCAGGAACCATGGCTGGCAAGGGAAAATTGTAAGGTTGGTCAAAAGAAAAAGGGAAGCATACGACAAGTCTAGGCAGCTACAAACTGACGAAGCCCTGGAGGAGTACAGAGAAATTAGAAAGGAACTTAAATGCACAATTTTTGAAGGCAAAAAGGGACCATGTCTTTAGCAAACAGGGTCAAGGAGAATACCAAGGCTTTTTATGCATATATTAGGAGAAAGAGCGTAACCAGGTAACCCCAGGTTACTCAGAGGCAAGGGAGGAAATAGCTGGGGTATTGGCAGATATCTTCACATCCTCGTTGACCATAGGTGAAGTTCCAGAAGACTGGAGATTAGCGAATGTTGTTCCCTTGTATAAGAAAGGGTGTAGGGATAATCGATGAAACTGTAGGCTGGTGAGCTTGACATCTCTGGTGGGGAAGCTCTTGGAGAAGATACTGAGAGAAAAGATTTATGCGCATTTGTAGGAAAATGGACTAGTTGGTGACAGACAGCATGGTTTTGTCCAGGGAATGTCATTTCTCTCAAACCTAATTGAATTTTTTGAAGAGGTAACGAGGATAATTGATGAGGGAAGGGTCGTGGATGTAGTTTATATGGTCTTTAGTAAGAGATTTGATAAAGTCCCACATGGCAGGTTGGCACAAAAACTAAAATCACAAGGGATTTGGGGTAGCCTGGTTAGATGGTTTGAAAAACTGGCTTGGTCATAGAAGACAGAGGGTAGTGGTGGAAGGATGTTTTTCAGAGTGGAGACTGGTAACTAGTGGTGTTCCACAGGGGTCAGTCTTAGATCCTTTGTTGTTTGTAGTTATATAAATGATCTGGAGGAAAACATGGGTGGTCTGATGAGCAAGTTTGTGGGTGACACGAAGATTGGTGGAGTTGCTGATAGTGCCAAAGATTGTGAAATCATACGACAGGATACAGATTGGCGACTTGGGCACAGAAATGGCGGATGGAGTTTAATTCAGACGAATGCGAGGTGATGCATTTTGGAGGATCAAATTTAGGTGTGAATTATATTGTAAGTGGCAGAACCCTTAGGAACACTAACAGTCAGATGGATCTGGGCGTGCAGTTCCACAGTTCCCTGAAAGTGGTAACGCAGGTAGCCAGGGTGATTAAGAAGGCATATGTCATGCTTGCCTTCATAGCCCGGGGTGTGGAGTACAAGAGTTGGCAAAACATGTTGCTGCTATATAAAACCCTTGTTAGGCTGCATTTGGCATATTGTGTGCAGTTTTGATCACCACACTACCAAAAGGATGTGGAAGCTTTGGAGAGAGAGCACAGAGAAGGTTCACCAGGATGTTGTCTGGTCTCCAGGGCAGTGACTATGAGGAAAGGTTAAAAAGACTAGGATTGTTTTCAATGGAATGACGGCAGCTGAGAGGAGAGCTGATAGAGGTCTTCAAAATTAAGAGAGGCATAGATTGGGTCAATAGTCAGAGGCTTTTTCCCAGGGTTGAAGTTTCAATTACAAGGGGTCACAGAGGGGGAAGATTTAAGGGAGATGTGTGAGGAAGGTTTTTCACGCAGAGAGTGGTAGCAGCCTGGAATGCACTACCAGAAGAGTTGGTGGAAGCGGGCACATTGAAGACATTTAAGAGGCACCTAGATGGGTACATGAATAGGGAGGGAATAGAGGGACATGGATCGAAAAATGGCAGGTTTGTTTTTAGATTAATTTGGGCATGATGGTCGGCATAGGCTTGGAGGGCTATGCTGTACTTTTTCATTTGTTCATTTTCATTCATCATTTATGTTTGAACTATAAAATAATGATAACTATGCAATAAATGTATGAAAATATTGATGTTTCTAACTAAATAATCAAAATTACAAGAAACACTTGAATTCCTCAAGATGTTGTCACGTAGTGCTAGAAATCCCATTTATCTTTTCCATGTGAAGTAGAATCCATGCTTCTCTTTATAATACTGGAGGCCAGAAGCAAGACCCTGAAATAGATTTCTGTGATTGTGTTGGAAAGGAATTTTAGTTATTTAAATTTATATAAACTTGTATAAATTCTTATTTTTAGTGTTTTCACATGCCTATTATTGTAATTTCACGTTGCCTACTTTTATTCTAATGACATGCATTCTGCACCTCCTTTGTGCATACAAATTCTATTGTTTCTAATAATTCTGACTGGAATGTATTCATGTGATATTGGAAGATGACCATGGTGCTATCCCTTAAGTTGGATACTTTTCCAGTGTTGGTAACTAAAGGGCATCCATGCCTTTATCAATTCTGTCTCA